CAGGTTTTTTTCCCTTTCTTTTTAACAGAGTACATGGACCCAGCATTTTCCTGTTAATGCTTGTTTATGAATGAGACCTTGTATGTAATCGAACAGAGGGAAGCAGTCCCTGGGAGATCTCTCAATTTGAACCAGTGTTTATTTAAAACAACAACAGCAAAAACCCTCAATCCTTAGTGGTTCCTAAATTTATATGTACTTGATTTTTTTTTTATGAATCCATCCAAAAACCATTTCATTTATCCTGTACCAAGCCCTTGGCAGTGCAGCTGAAGATGTTAAGAGAAGCAGAGATGTGGAGGAAATCTAGGCGGATCTCCTGGAGGAGGAGACACTTGCTAAAGTTCGGCCAAGTGAAAATGGGAAGGAGTGTATTCTTAGAAGGAGAAACTTCATCATGACTAGAATTCCAGCAGTAAGAAATCTGGGAACTACACAGAGAAGCAGGGAAGGAATGCAGAAGTGGAACAGTGTGAATTGAGGGAAAAGCCCATCTCCCCCCTTTTATCTTGCTGCTTCTAACTGGCTGTGAATTTAGAAACCAGATAACATGGATGTTAGGCTTGTGTGTAAAACATCAGTACATAAACAACCTCAGAATGAATATCTGACAATGAAAGGCAGGAATGGGAGGACGGCAAGGTCTGGGCCCCTCAGAAGAGGCCTCCTGTGCCCTTTCAGCTTCACAGTGTGCTGGTGGGTGAGGTACCAGCTAACATCTGTCCCTGCACAGAATCCAGGAACCAGCCACAGTAGGAACAACCAGAAGTCCTAAGCCACAAAAAGGGAGGATATCTTACGGGCCCCTGCACCGCCACTAAATCACAGCCCACTCCCACCACACCCACCACCATTTGGCCCAGGACCTTAATTTAGGTGCTGGAGATGTGGGGGGAGGGAATGTCCATAGCTGATTCTCCCTAGAACCGAGCCACACTCACGCCCCTCCAGCTCTCCAGAAGCGGCCTCAGGGCCTGGGAAACTAGATTCTAAACTGCGGGCCCCTCCTGCAGAATCTGAGAAGGCGAGGAAGAGCAAGATCCAGAACTAGCGCGCAGAAGCGGAGACCAAGGAGCTAAGCCGGCCAGAGATGGATGAACTGGACGCCCCTGGGAAAGGCCGGCGACTTCACCGGATAGACAAGGGGCACCCTTGCCCTCTGTGCCCCCCGCCCCAGGCCTGGGACCCCTCAGAGCCCTAGAGAGGCAGCGCCCCCGCCCCCAGACCCGGCGGGGCTCCCTCCCAGCCTCCCATTCTCGTGGCAACACACTGCCCTCCGCCCTGTTCCTCTGGGTCCCAGAGTGCGGGGCTGGGGGGCGGGGCAGAAGGGGTGCGGGCGAACCCCGCCAGGGCTTCTTACCTAAGCGTGAGCATCCGTCCGACCGAGCTCGGTCTGCTGCTGGGACTGCGGGGCTGGGGAGGCTCCCACGGACTCGGATTGCGCCTCCCCACCCCCCCACCCCGCCCCGAGTCCCCAGACCCTTCGGTGGCCCCGAGCTGGGGCGCCGGGACCAGGGGACAGGCGCCGCGCGGGCGGGAGGAGGCGGCTTCGGCGGGGCGGGGCGGGGCGGGGGCGTCTGTCGGGCCCCGCCCGGAGGGGACTTGGGAGCGATTCTCTCTGGAAGGACAAAGGCGGCCGGGGAAGGCTTGGCGCACCCCCCCCCCCAACTCCCACCCCCATCCCCGGGGCTGGCCCTGAACTTGAACTTGTACTTGACACTTTGTCCTGAAGGTGGCGAGGGAACCCATCTGAGCTAGGACGGGGGGCTCGTCCGTCCACCTCTCCTCCTGGGGAGGGGGCGAACCCGGCCTCTTCGGCGCCGGGAGGGAGCCCCTGCCTCCCCAGGTGCCCTCAGGACCCGGTGCGCCCCCAAGCGGCCTTGGGCTCGAGGGTACACCCACTCCCCCTCACTGCCACCCCACCCCACCCCGAGCCCGGCCCGCAGCCAGAGCCGCGCGGGGCCGGCCGGATTCTCTGCACGTCGCGTCGGCGGCCGCTATTCAGCCGCTAATTGAACGTTAATGGCAGGTGCGGATGAGGTCACCGGAGCTGGCTTTTCTCACACATTTTTCATGCAAATTCGCGAAACTCTAAACAAATTTAAATAAAAAGCTCTTTGTGCCGCGCGCCCCTCAGTCTTCTCCCTCCCGCCCGGGGTCCTGGCTCCTCCCTGGGCCCTGGGGCCCCGAGCCTGCTGCCCGGCGGAGCGCGGCACGCGGCGGGGAGCAGCCGGGCGCCCCGAGGCAGCGCCGCCTGCCGGACGGCCGGGCCCACCCCGCCTCGTCGCCTGCGGCCCTGACCGCAGCCCCCTGGGCGCGGTGGAGCGGGGATGAGAGACGTTTCCCTGTGGTTGCCGGGCAGGGCGAGGCTGGTAGGGCGTCAGGCACCTAGGAAGGCCGCGTGGGCAGGGCTTTGAATTCTTGGCATCTGGGCAGGTGTGCCTGTGCCGACATCCTGGCTGCACCCATCCCTGCACCCACCAGCTACCTCAGCCTCTCTCTCCCCGTTGGTTAAACAGGAATTAATACAGTGTCCGTTTTGTATAGGGATGTCTGAGGATTAAACCATGATTTAGGACATGAGTAAGCACTTAGAACAGTGCCTGGCACAAGAAAGTCTTGATAATTGTCTGGGGTCCCAGGGCCTTGTGAAAAGGGATGCTGTGATATTGCACATTAATAGAGAACCTTATCAGGGTCTTTCCGGAGATTTACGAAGCCTAGCATCCCATTCTGGTCACAGAAATGAGAGCTGGAGCCTGGCTCCATCGCTTCCCAGCTGCGTGTGCATATTTCTTAGCATCTCTGAAGCCTCCGTTAGCTACTCTGTAAAATGGGATTAAGTCTTATGGAGGAGGGTGTGTTTGTCACTCTGAGGATTAAATGAAGACACTGATAGAGGTTTGGGAGCTGCTTCAAAATTCAGAACCTACAGAACCCCACTTCTGAGGGTAGTACACCTAAGATTGCCACCCTCAAGGCTAGAGGTAAGCCTTGGGCAGGGTAGCCAATGGCCTTCATCCTCTTAGCCAGATGACCCTAGCCCAGGTCAGGGAGACACTTTCCCAGACCTTGGGAGGGTTTCTTGGATCCATAGCAGGGACCCACCACACCTGGCACAGCAAGAATTGTCTTTGCTAGTGGTTAAATCTTACTTTCCTCACCCACATCCTTCCCACAGAACTGACCAGACACATGGAAGGCTTTGCAAAGAAACTTTATTTGTTGTGAGTTGGGAAGAGTGTGTGGGGGTGTGTGTTAGTCACTCAGTTGTGTCCGACTGTGCAATCCCATGGACTGTAGCCCGCCAGGCTCCTCTGTCCACGGAGTTCTCCAGGCAAGAATACTGGAGTGGGAAGCCATTCCCTTCTCTGGGGGATCTTCCCAACCCAGGGATCAAACCCGAGTCTCCCGCATTGCAGGCAGACTCTTTACTATCTGAGCCACCAGGGAAGCCCATGGGGAAGACAGAGGTGAGATTTACAGGATGAGAAGAGGCTTTTCTTGCAGAACTTGCCTGAGTCCTCCCTTAGGACCATGCAGGAGGAGCCCCTGGCCTCACAAGAGCCCCAGTGATTCCAGACCCCTGAGTGAGATCTCTGCTTACCGACTGCTGCTTTTGCAGCTTCAGCTTTCCTTGAGGACCTAATCGGGCCAGATTCTGGGAAGCATGGGGGCAGGCCCAGGAGTTCCCATCAGGCTTCTATCAGGTAGGGGAGAAGCAGAGTCTGCAGAAGTGTAGGTGACCTGCAGCCAGGGGACTGGGGGGCTGCAGCAGTTAGACCCTCTGATCCCACCCACTCCTACTTCCCATTTTCCACCAGGTGGAAGCCCTGAGCCTTCCCCAGTACCTTGCCCCCACTTTCCAACACTCATTCAGGCTTGTCTTAACTAGCTGGGCTGTATCTTTGCCTCCAGGCTACTGCCCCCAGGAAGTCCATCTGGACAACACTTCTGGCCCTGGACAGCTCTGGAGGAGAGGCTATACTAACCAGAGTCTCTATAATCCTCCTCCCCACCCCTCCACTGCCCAGTCCAGGGCCAGGCATACTGCAGGAGCTACATGGCATTAGGTAAAATTGGGGGAGGACCCCAGGCAAGCAACTATTTGAGGAGGTGACCTTGCAGAGGAAGGGTTAATATCTCTATGAATGGGAGGTGGAAAGGAGGGGTTCCAGCTTTGGGGACCTCCTAGTGGCCATGCCAAACAGGATTTCTTTTCTGTCTGGTAAGACTTCACAGCCTGAGAGACTTGAGTTTGAATCTTAGTTCTGGCACTAACTAGCTGTGTGACTTGGGACCTAAAACTTAATTTTTCTGGGCCTCAGTGTCCTCATCTATATAATGGGTGGGTAACAATAATACCGACAGTCTATAAAGTTATGAGGAGTCACTGCAGCCCTCTGCCTGTGGTCCATTTTAAATTCTTCTTTCCTGCTCACTCTGAAAGCTCCACAGCTAATTTGGGTTGACTGTAGGTGTCGCCCAGGTCCCAGGGACTACTCTGCAACCCTGCAGATTTCCCAGGGTCTTCTGGGTGGCTACCTGGTCCAGATCTATGGCACCTTGCTCCTCCACCCCACCTAGGGCCCACCCAGGCCCATCAGGGCCCAATGGAGAGCTCCTCCAGCCGCTGTGGCCAGGTCCTGGCCTGTCGTGTGTGGAGTCAGACCCACACCTCCCACTCCTGAGACCTTGGGTCACCCCTCAGAGACACCTGCTGAGCCACTTGCTTTCTCTGGGGTGAAGCAAACAAGGCAGGCCAATGGCAAAATTCCCTTGGAGCTCCTACTCCAACTTGGTTAACAGAGGTTAAGCCTGATATATTCTACAGCCTCTTTACATTTCTCAGTGAAAGTATCCCACAAGCATGGAACGAAAATGGAAGACTGCGTTCATTCCTTCTCACCCCCCAGAGGTAGTCTTCTAATACACACACCCAGAATCGCTTCACATATAAGCATATTTTTGACTTTTAAATACACACAAATAAGATCATGTTCTATTGCCTGTTCTGTAATTTATTCTATTCTCCCAACAATATATACTGGCCAGCCTTCCATATCAGCTAATATTTAGAGACCTACCACATTCATTTTTGCAGTTGCATAGTATTTCACACAGTATGAATGAACCACAGGTTCATTTCCATTTCTTTACATTCTTAAAAAACAAATGCTCAGATGAACATTCTTGTACATTCTTCTTTGGGAATGTCTACATGTTAACCGTATAGTAAATTTCTAGCAGTGCAATTTGCTTGTAACTAAGTACATGTGTCCTTTACATTCTGGTATTGCCACATTTCATACTTTCCCACCAATGGTGTTTGAGTGTCTTAGAAGAGATATGTGATGGTGGAGAAAGGCATCAAGAGGCAGCAATGTAAGATATGGGTCATGGAAGCATCTAACATGCCCACTGAGAATGGCGCTGGACTGGCCTGTTGCCCTGAGGGCAGTGCCCAGTGCCTTTGTCTTGTCCAGGCCTGTGTGGTCTAGTAGTCCAGGGGTGCCCTGAGTCAGAAGGGGAGCGGGGCCCACAGGGGCGATGGGAGTGGAGGACGGGCCAGCATGGCTGGAGTCCCGCCTGAATGGTTTCCTGCGGCCATTGTCTCTGCCCTGCCTGGTCTCCTTGTGGGGAGTTTATTCAGGGGCCTTTGGAGAGGAGTTGGGCAGGAGGAGGAGGGTGTGCAGCCCTCACCAAAGGCACCCAGGAATGTGTCACAGGAGGGAGAGGAAAAGGGAGGGGGGACCCATCCCTGGGAGACACGGACGTCAAGAACCCCTGACTAATGAATAGTGAGTTTGCCCTTGAACCTCACTGGGCTTCGCCATTCTCAGGCACAGAACAAGAGCAGAGACACGTCTGAGCCCAGCTGCACGGGGACGGCGGCGGTTCATCTCAGACACTTTGACAGGCCGGGCCTTTTCCCTGCATAGCTCGGATCTGGCTCCCGGCTCCCCTGGCAACAGCACAGCGGCATGGCTCCCAGGTCCAGGCCCTGCCTGCTGTGAGCAGGAGGAGGGAGGAAGAGGAGCACCAAGGGGAGGACAGCTGGGGAGAGGGCATCATTAACTCCTAGAAGGCTGGAGCCCCTTGCGTGGGCAACCACCTGGCATGCCGCCCTCGGTCCTCGGGGGCCGAGATGCGGGGTGGAGCTTCTGTTTGCTGGAACACCCTGCACTGGAATAGGCATACAATGTGACGAGGGCAGAAACGGTGGCCCACAGGTCAAAGGCCAAGACCTCTGCAGGATGGGTGGGGGATAGGGGCACGTTTCCCCAGGCCCCCAGCCAAGTCCCAGAAGGGCAGGAGTGGGAGCAGAACCCGCACTGTGCTCTCTGCCCCAGTCCTCCTCCTCCATCCTGGCCCCTGACGGCTGCAGCTTCAAGACAGCAGCGACTGCATCTTCCCTTTCTGCTTGGCTCTTCCACCTCTGATGATGGTGCGTGTCCTGGAGCGAGGGGCATGGCTCTGGATTCCAATCCTATGACCTTGGCAAGCAAGACTTACAGCTCCTCTGTCTCCATTTTCAGAGAAGCTGAAAAGAGGCTGTCCCATCACACTTCGCAGGACAATCTAGAGATAAGAGAAATAATATATGAGAAGGAGCTCAGCCCTCTGGGGAGGAAAGTGTCCTAGAAATCTCATTCAGGTATTATTAGGGCTGAAAGTAGGTATTTCTGCTCCCTGGGGCTGGGGGGAGGAGCTTCTTGAGGCTGTCTCAGAACCTCCTCAGCAGAGCAGGCTGAAACTCAAAGGCAACAGGTTAGGAAAGGCAATGGTTTCTGTCCATGGCCTTTGGAGGCTCAGCTTGGATGGGAAGGTAAGATAGACCTGCTATACATTTTCGAAGAACTTTTCCTTTATCATTGCTCTGCCTTGCTGCAACTTTATGAGAAAGGTGTGATCCTCATTTTAGAAGTAGGAAAAGAGAGGCTCAGAGAGGTTAAGGGCAAGCCCAACGTCACCCTGGTTATACAAAGACCTGAGCCCATGTCCCCTGATTCTGGGGAGGGGAGCCCATGTCCCCTGCACTTGTGTCAGCTATATGGGTGGCAGAACCACCTGGCTGGGGTCCTGGGGAGGCGGGGGCAGGCAGTGGGAAGCAGAATTTCCCCTGTGGATTGCTTCTTGGGGCTTGGACCTTCTGAGTCTGAAGGGCCTGGCCAAGGGAAGTAGGACAAGGCAAGTCCCAAGGAGAACAATGCAAGCCCACTGTGAGGGTCTCTGGTGGCAGAGTTACCAGACAAAGGCTAGCTAGAGCAAACAGAAACAGAAGAGAAGGCCCCAGATCAGAAGCTGGGGACAAACTCTGCTAGACCTGTGCTCTCCAGACACAGTCTCGCCCCAGGGCAGGTCACATCCCAGCCTCAGGTCCCAGCCGGCAGTGAGCTGGGTTTTCCTCTGAAGCCCCTGGATGAAGATGTCTCCCTGCATCCCAGGGCAATTTGAAGACCACACTGGTTGGGTTTCCTGAGAGCCAGGGGGCTTAGGCTGAGGGTTACTGGCAAGTAGCAGAAGAGAAAAAGCAGGAAGAACTTCCAAATTACAAAATGTCACAGCTACATCCTAGCCAATGCTCCTTTGCCAAGTCCAAAAAGGGAGAGGGTTCACTCAAGGCCAGAAGAAGTCCAAGTCTCTGACTACCAGCTAGGTAGGGTTGTGCCTTCCCAAGTGACTTGGCATTCTACCAGGCCACCCTGTGTCCTCAAAAGCAGGGATTTCACTCAATGAGGCACATAGAAGGATCAGATAAAAGAAGTTACTGCTGGCAAAGCACACCACGTGTCAAGGGGTGGCTGCTGGAAGCCTGGGGCTGGGACATATGCTGCTTTGAGACCAGAAGCCTTCCTGGAAGACACCATTGTCACCACTGTGCAGGTAGGAACCACAAATCTTGTCTGGCTGATGACAAAACAGGCATGAGGAGATGGATCAGAACACAGACCAGCCCCGAAGCCTGACCCCCCAATGCTTTCCGGAAGGGTCAGGGAGGAGCAACGGCTATGGGGCAGGTGGGAGCTCCCAGGAGAAGCTTGTCCCCACAGAGCCTGATGGTGGAGCCTTAGCCAGGGCAGGGTCTGGAGCTGGGAAGGACTTCGGCTCACCGCCCTTGGCTGCCAAGGCCTCTGCCAGGTGGAGCAGGGGGCCCCACTCCAGGCAGATCTGACCTGCTCAAAATGCAAAGGAGGTCAGGGACCCTGCATCGTGCAGCCTTGTCAGGAACCGCCCTCGAGGGAAGTCTGTGCGATGGCTGATGAAGGGACATGTGATGGGACAGAAAGATACAAAGACAAATGAACTTCTTTCAGCCCAGCTGTGCCCTCCTTCCTGGGCTGCTGGTTTGGGCCAGCTGCCACCTGACTGGCTGGTGCCCATAGTTAAATATCCTGCATGTCACTACTGTCCTCACCCTCTGAATCATGGCTGCATCAACCCACCTTGAGAAGCCCAGACCCTCCATGCCTGCCCCGGACCGTAGGGCCAGAAGGAAGATGAGCCCTGTTTGGTGCTGAGTGACTCCACTGGGAGGCAGGAATCATTGTTCCCATCTTACAGATGAGCGTTGAGAGGCTCCAAGACATTCAGGGGTCTGTTGCACAGTGATGCCAGAAGCAGAACGCCAATCTGGGCCTCTTGCCGGCCCCTCCTCTCTAGTCCGGGTCCCAGGCCCGGGCCATCACCAGCCTAGGGGGCTGCAAGGCTCTGAAGGGCCTGGGCCTGGGCCTGGGCCTAGCACCCCCCCCCCTCATTTTCTTCCCTCCCCCGGGTTCTCTCGTGGTTCAGTGTAAGCAGAGGAGGCATACTGCCCAGCACACCTGATTCATCCTAGGACAAATCCCCCAGCCCCTGAGCAGCCCGGACAGCACTTTCCTGGCTAACCAGGGAAAGGACTGTCTGCCACGTTCAGAGGCAGCTTCTCCTACTAAGACAGGGAGCCTGAGGGTTTGGGGGCTGGGGTGAGGATGGGACAGCTCCCAAACAATAAAACCTCAGCCAGGCAGACAGGGCGGCAAAGGCTGCATCTCAGGAGCTTCGCCCGCCCCCCCCACAGAAACAAAGCGCAGGGTCACCCCGCCGCTCGCGGGCCGACCCAGCCCTCCACGATGCCACCCGCGCTGGCCCAGCCTCGAACGAGCCGCGCTTGGAATGTGATCCCCGGGCTTTGCGTGATGCTCGGTTAGCAGAGTGCAACTCCCAAGATCCCCTGTCACCCCCTAAAGCCTCTGCCAGCCCACCCCCCAGCACCACACTGATCACCAGATTAAGGAGCTCAGGGTTACAGCTGAGGCAGCTAACACCCAGGAGGGAGGGAGGGGTGGGGAGGGGTGGGGAGGGCAGTGGGCAGCTCTCCCAAGGCCTGCCTGCCCTCCCTCTTTCTCTCCGCCCCTACTGTGGACCCTGGTCAGTGTTCCTGCCTGAACTCTAACCTCTACACTCTTCCTCATTTAGCTTCTGACTTCCCCTCCAGATCCCCAGATGGAGCAGGGTAGGAAGAGAGTGCGCATTGCGGGCAAGGACCGGCTGGAGCCCAGGGCCTCCCCAGCCAGGACTGCATGCCCTCTGAGGGCGATCCCAGAGGTTCTCTAACCAGCGCCCAACTCCAGAGCAAGGTGCAGCCCCCCCCCCCCCAACATGAGGGAGCAGGAGGGAGCACCAGGGATGGGGAGAATGGTGAAGAAGGGACAAGAGAAGGAATGTGGGCATTCGAAGCACTTCCCTAAGACCCCAGCACTTTCTGAACCAATGCCATCCCCAAGCATTTAAAACACAAACACAGGAAAAGAAGTTCCCTTCTGTTTGCAAAGAATCACCAGGTCTGTAAGAAATCAGATGTCTAGATTCATAGAGACCCAATGGGAAAGAACTGGAGGTTTTGACTCAGGGAAATTTGGACTGTGAGGGTCCCAGACTTACCCTTTCAATCACTGAGAAGCTGTGAAGAGAGAACAGGACCAGTGGGGCTGGGTGGGGGAAAGGCAAGAAAAGGGCCTGGAGCCAGCTCCCCTGGATCCTAAGACTCCTGCACCTGGACAAGAGGGGCCATGCTCCAGGTCCCTGCTCCCTGACCTTCCAGCATTTCTGTGTGGGGCTGTGCAGACCTGGAAACTCTGACCCAGAAAGTCATCTGGAGGCCCAGTCCAGCAGGTGTCCAGCCCTGTCCCAGCCCCATCCCCATGCCAGGGCCTGCAGGGGGCGACCAGGATACACCCAGGGCCTCAGCCAGCAGCTACTTTCACTCCAAGTTTCTCCGTTGACACCACTGCCAGGCTCCCCTCTGCCAGCCAGGGCCTGCTTCCCATCACTGCAGGGTAGGGGGCAGCGGAGGAGAGCCTGGGGGGCTGGGGGCAGGGGTGGTTCTGTGAGGACCTGAGCAGAGAGGCTCTGCCCGCTCTGAGAGCAGAGGCCCACATTCCAGTGTCCACAGGGGTAAAATCCTTCCTCTAAGTTCCGCTCACCGCCCGCCAGAATTCACTGGTCCCACGCCCGTCGTCGCACTCAGGGAGTGTGAAATCAACACAGGTTCAAAATGATCACAACCATCACAGACTTTCCGAGTTACAAGGAACTAAGAGATTCCTTAAGTTCTCACTCACTGTGCCAGGGAGAACACCGGGATCCAGTGTGAAGGATGAACTGGCCTCCCCGGGGTCACACAGCAAGCACATACTCCTGCTGCGTCTGCTCAGGGCCAGGCTCCTGCGAGGGCCTAAGAGAGGGCTTCTCCGTCATACCCAAACAAGATCCTGGCCAAACTGTGGGTGGCGGGGGTCTGGGGCCAGGGGAGGCCGTAATGCGATAAGCAGACTGGCCATCTGGCTTGGGGATGGAGGAGACTGGCTGCTTCTGCTGCCTGGTCCCGAAGGGCCCTGTGTCGCGGGAGATAGACGGCCAGATGGACGGGCGCTGGCCCGGGTCTGGGTGGAAGCCAGTGAGTTCCCTGTAGCCAGAGCTAACCAACTCTCAGACGTGGCAGGGTGGGAGTAGAGAAGGCATGGGGAGCGACGTCAGGCCCCTCTAAAATGGCAGAGACAGGAAAGCGGGCTGGGGAGCCGAGGTTCCCACCCAGGCGCAGAGCCTGGCTCCCCAGGTAAGCACCGGCCCAGCTCAGCTCCACAGCCATAAACAGGTCCCCCTCCCAGGGAAAGGCAAACACATCTCCCCTGGCACCTTCTCAGACATGCATGCAAAACTAATTAACATGGGGAGACATGCGAGCAGCCGGCCAGCTCCACACCCTCGAGTCCACGCAAACAAGGCGAGCCCTTGTCCGGGGGACGTGCACAAAGCTTTGTTGCTAATTTAGGCATCTGTCTCTGTCTGGTCTGGTCCTCCTGCCTGCGCTGGGGTTTTTCCCAGCCCCTCGGACAATGCTGGGAACAGGCCTGCCGATCCCTTATTCAAATCACACCCAGGACAATGAGCTCATTGTGTAGGCCACAGAAAAAGGGATGCTGGGGGGCGGTGTGTGTCGGGGGTGGGCAGTGTAACCGGGCATCGGGAGTGGAGAAGGGTGGGGTGGTGAAGAAAATGGGAACCCAGGAAAGTGTTTACTAACACAGCCCCTGCAGCTGCCTTGGGCCCCTCTCCCTTCCCCCACCAGGCTGGCAGCCGGGACTTGACTTGGAGGTGGGGGGTCCCTGCAGCAGATGAGGGGCCTTGAATCTACTGGGCCGATGGATACAGTCTGGCTCAAATCTTTGCCGTGTCGCTCTGTCCCACCTTTAACAGTCTACAGCTACCCCTGAATGTCCATGGCCAGTGTGCCTTTTGTAACTGGGTTTGGGGTTCTTTTTTCTCTTACTGCTGATGGAGCAGCAGAACGTACAGGTCCGGACTGCAGACGAGGAGACGGGGCTGGGGGAAGAGGTGCTGGCCGCTGCACAGGGTGGGACCTGCTGTCTCGGCCATTGTCTTCAGGACACATTTCATTTTCTCCTCCTTCCTGGCTAATAAATTAGAGAGGAGGCCGTGAGCTTCGAAGGGACAGGCTCCCCACGGATGGTGGGCGGGCAGGTGGGAAGGCAAATCTGTGAGCTCTTGGCAGATGGGGCTCACCCAGCGCTCCGCTGCTCACGCCACACCTGGTCAGACACTTGCACAGAGCCTGACAATGATCAACACAAAAATACCCCGTGTGTGTGTGTGTGCGTGTGTGTGTGCGCGCGTGCGCGTGCGCTCAGTCGTGTCTGACTTGCCCTACAGACTATAGCCCACCGGGCTCCATGGGATTCTCCAGGCAAGGATACTGGAGTGCCATTTCGTCCTCCAGGGGATTTTTCCAACCCAGGGATCAAACCCATGTCTCCTGCCTTGGCAAGCAGGGAAGGCCCATATATATATATACACACACACATATATATCACATGTAAATTTATATACATTATACAAATCCCCCAAGATTCCTGAAGGGGAGATCTGGGGCTTGAGCCCTTCGTCCTAACAGTTCCCCAGCTCCCTGTCGCACTGAGCCCACCTAGACAGGCGGACGTAAACAGACACGCAGACATAAAATGAAACACACTCACCCAGAGGCAGCCCAGACACACACACTGACAATGGTGTAATGAATGCAGGACGGCGAGAGCATTCAGTCCAAAGCCCACACCGCTAGTCGCCCAGCACCAGGGTGGCTGAAAGGTTATGGAGACGCTGCAGGCCAGCTCCCCATAGTCTCCAGTCCCAGGCTCTCGGCTTTGTGGAGCTAAGGTGCAACACCATGCCAGGCACCCAGGTGGGAGCAAATGTCTCCTGAGACAGAAAGGCTTGGAACGGGGCTCAGCCCTTAGTCAGGGTACTCTAAGCTGCCCTGAAGGATTTTCTTAACAGTGAAAGAAAAGGTGTTTAAAAGTCATCTCGACTGTCCTGCATTTTGAGACATGTCTTGAAATTGGGGCAAAGTGGAAATGTCTTAGGTCAAACCATACAAGATCACCAATAGTTGACTATTTATGATCTATCAAAAAGAAATTTCATATGGGCCAACCTAACAGGCAACTGGCTCCAAGAACTATTGAGTGCATTTTCCCTTTTTACATTTCCTCTCCAAACTGGGTTATTTTATTCTCAAAGAAGAAAAAATAAATAAATAAAACAGCCAATAATCCAAGACCCAGATCTACTTTTGGAGCATCTGTCTACAGCCACATAACCACATCATGCAGAGACGTCACAGTAGCTGCTGGAATGACCTGTGAACACACACACAGACACACACGCACACACGTGTGCACACAGCCTGCGGCCTGTAGCAGGCCAAGACCCACCTTCAGACTCCTCCACCAGGGCTCCTGCTTCTCCTTTCCCCATCTTCTGGCTCTGGAGCATGTCCTGGGGAGAACAGAAGGAACAGGAGACTAGAATGGCGTGGGCAATGGGATAGCTGTGCTACTGGCTTCTTCTCCAGAGCTTCACCGGGCTGGCTGAGTCTGTGCATGTACTGGAGGAGACATTGACCATGCAGTTTTGAGACTGAAGCATGCGCTGTCAACTGGCCACCAAACATAAACCTAAGGCCAGGCTCTGCGCACATGACACTCACTCCAACTACCTGGTGAGAGCCAAGCCCGGGAAACTAGAAGGGTGCAAGGTCACCCAGTGTGAGGAAGGCCCACTCCTTGCCAGCAGTTCGACATTTATGGTCCTGTCGCTCACGGAACTCACAACGTACTACATCTTCCCAAGAAATCACTCTTACCAATCTCTCTGGAGTTTCCCAGGGGAGGAAAGAAGGAAGATTTCAGAAGCACAGTCCAGCAATGCTCTGCATTTCACTACCTGCTTCTTAGTTGTCCAGAGAGGAAGGCCTGTTTCACAGATGCTTATCTTGCCCACCAATGACAGCTGGCCCATCCCTATAGAAGTTGAGAGCAAGACACTTCCTTGAGAGTCTCCAGGTGATCTGGGATTCCAGTTCCAGACTTCACAGATCTGGAACTACCTTCCATGCAGCAGGAAGTCGTATGGTCTCTCTCACACCTCTGAAAAAGTATTCTGACCATAAATGCCCTGTAACTCCTAGCGTTACCGCATTAACTTTCTAAACACATACTATATGGACCTCAACAAGAAAACCACCAAACACCATCACCAACAACCACAGTAAGATGAAACCTGTCTGGTCTTCCCTCTCCTGGGAGGCAAGTGAGAGAATGCGAGCCTACGGCCGGGGCTTCAGAGATGGTGGTTACACTTACACAGTGGGCTCCAACCCAGCAGCTACCTGGGTGACTCTTCCAAACACCAGATGTGTTGAGAGGGGTATCTGGGTGCCCACCACTGCTACCTTATATGCAGGTCCACCTCCCAACCACTGCACTTGGGGTCCAGTCTGAGCAGAACCAGGAGAGAATTCTGGCCTTGAGGTCCCAAACAGTGTTGGATTTCTTCTGAGGAAAAATTTTCTGCGCAAGAATTAGAGGTAATTTATCTTTTGATTGCATTTAAGATGTTCCTTACCAATCTTAGGGGCTTCTCTGGTGGCTCAGACAGTAAAGAATCTGCCTGCAATGCGGGAGACCCGGGTTCTATCCCTGAGTCGGGAAGATCACCTGGAGGACACAGCAACCCAACCCACTGGAGAATTCAATGGACAGAGGAGCCTGGCGGGATACAGTCTAGCTTCAATGCAAATCTTGATAGGTGACTGTTATGCTGATTCCTAGGATCAAAGCTGTGTTTTAAATGAAGAAAAGGCAATTGAGATGTCCAGTTCTATAAAGAATCAATGGAATCTGGAAAATTAAAGTTCTAGGCCAGGCTAAATGGCAGCTTAAGGTTACCAAGGGCAAAACATGACATGGCCTCGACCAGGCTCTGGGGGTGTGGAGAGGGGCAGTGAAGCCAGGAAGCTGCAAATGAGTGAGAGCTGTCACACCCCCAGCGCCCGCTAATCCAACATCCCCTGTCCAGGGCTAGCCTTCCGGTCATGAATGAATAGATGAAATTCTGTATCACACAAGCTTTAAAGGGCTGGGCGAGGGACTGTGGTTTTCTTCTCTGTATCCTCAAGGCCTTGCCCAGAGCCTGACATGGAATGCTCGGTCAATGAAACCTGAATGAATAAATGAATGAAGTAGAAAAAATACAATCTGGTATGGGAAGACTTCCAATTCCTGAGCTCCACGGTTCCCTTGCTAACTGGGGTATGGTTCCATGCACAGCCCTAGAAGCGCTGAAATCCAGGCCAAGAGCCAGCAGAGGTGAGAGGCCCAGGGTGGATGTGTCTACTCGACTCAGGCTGGCCTGGCAGCATACACACCCACCATACACAGGGTGACAAGACCACTTCCCTTAGCCTGCCCTCCGTCGTCACTGTTCTTGGCCTCCACCATCTGACCTGCTTTTCATACCCAAATCTCTAGGTCAGTCCTGTAAGACTCATGCCTACACCCAAGCCTCTGTTCAAGGAGTCATGCCCCTCCTCATCCCAGAAGACCTCTTTGGCTACAGTGAGCCTGCTCTGATGCTCTGCCCCACATGAATCCCTCCTCTCCTAACTCTGGTGGCCTAAGTCAAGTTTTGTACATCTCCAATGTGTGCATCCTTAAGCTGCTTTCTGCCCCGAGGGTTCAGGAAACAGGTCAGGTCCTGGGTTCTCTGGACCTTGGAGCTAGGAGCTGATGCAGTGAGGACGTCATGACTTACTGTAGACTGGCGGAGCCTGATCCCTTGCTTACCGCCTTCCCTGCTCCTTTCCTCATCCCACATGTTTGGCCCACCAGTGAAATGGCTCCCTGTAGCAGAACTGTACTGGTTCCTCCTCCCAACACACACACACCCGCTCCAGGACAGCAGGTGGGGGATGCAAACTGACATTTCTTGAGAGCCACGAGGTTAAGTATTACTATCCCCAATGCTACAGATAGGAGAACTGGTTGGGAGACAGAGAATGCGCCAGGGGGTCCCAGCTAGGTCAGACAGACCCCCGAAGCCCACTGAGCCATATGCACTTCCTTATACAACTGTGACCTTGAAGCCTGCAATCCAACAGCAGGAAAGAGAGAAACAGACTGGAAACAACTAAAAATGGGGTAAGAGAAGCTGCAGACTCAAAGGGCGGGGGTGGCTGCAAACTGGAGACCTCCTCCTTTTTACTCTCAGTCTCCCAGCACTCCCCATGGACATGACATACCCACCACCTCTCCTGTCCTGCGCCGCCAAACTGGGTGAATGGGAAGTGGGCCTAAGGGTCTCTGCTTAAGGATGAGATTAGACAGAAGACACGGACACCTTTGCCTTCTCCAGAAGACACCAAGTCCGGGACTTCCCTGGAGGTTCAGTGGTTAAGAATCCGTGTTCCAATGCAGAAGACAGCATGCCACCTCAAGGCATGTAACACTGCAGGAAGCAGAGCTTCTATCTTGTTCCAGGCAGGTGTAATCCCTTGGCACCATGGGCAGACTGGTGGGCGTGAATCCACCCCTGACTTCACAGACTGAAGCATAGCCAGGCTACGGACCACACTGACAATTAGGAGAAAGTCAGGGCTGGTGGGTGCTTCTCACCCCTCTGAGCACCTCACCAAGGCTCCCAGGGGCCCAGCACTCAGCCTTCCTACTTGGATCATTCAGGTATAATACCGGCCCAAAGCGGAGACACTATAGAGCCATCCCCTGCAGCCCAACCGAGCTCCTGCTGCTTCCTAAAGCCCAGTTTGACTCCTAAGGACATGAGGACTCACAGGGGACTCAGACGCCCCCACCCAATGGCTCTAGCTTCTGAGACACACCTCATGCGAACACCCCAATAGCATCTGGCTTAGAAAAGAAGGGCAGATTCTAGATTACTTTTATCATTCTCTCTGTTCCCCAAGAGACAGGCCTTAAAGGAGATAAAGTATGCAGACCGTTAGCGCAGAACTTGGCACAACAGAAGTGCTCAATAAATGGTTCCTGTCACCATTATCATGACTCATTACGGTTTCCTGGCTGCCCACTCCTCACCTCCCCGGCTCGTGTGAGGAGCCTTCTTTTCATAACCTCAAGGCTTAACGGAGCTCAGAGGCCCTTAGCCCAGTCCAGGGTTTCCAGGGCAGGAAGTTTCAGAGATGGGGAGGTAACCGGGAGTGAGGCTGGACCCAAGGCCAGGAGTCCTCCGGGGTGAGAAGGCCCCTCTGCCCTCTGACACCAGAATGGGCCCAGCGCCTCCCCAGAAAATCTCACTGAAGACCCGTGGCTTGGCAAGGAGCCAGGGCAGGAGGCTTCTCCAAGAAGATGCTGGCTCTGAGCCAAGGCGCATCCCAGAAGCTTCAGCTCCCAGAGAGCAGCAGAAGAGGAGGGGAGGAGGGGTCTCCAGAAGAGGGGCAACGAGGATCCCTCAGGCCGAAGGAAACCTGGTGCAAGTGAGTCTGGCATGAACCTGGGATGCACAGCTGTCTCCTCATGCCCTGAGGGCTCCACACATCTGGGAGACGATGAAATCACTTCAAGGACAGGAATTGATGGGGGGCGTGTTCCACCCCAGGACCACCCTCCTGTCATCTACATCTGTGCCCCTACAAACTCCACGAGGCACCACTAAACCTCCAAGCAAAGACTCTTCTGGGGTTCCCCACTGGCTCTCTTCCCCCCACCCATCCTAAAACCTAAGAAACATGATGCTGCCTGTAGATTCAGGTCTTCTGTCTCTAAGCACTGAGGGGTGAAAAGTGTTAGTCACTCAGTTGTGTCCAACTCTTTGTGACTCCATGGACTGTAGCCCACCAGGCTCCTCTGTCCATGGGATTTTCCAGGCAAGAAAACTGGAGTGGGTCAATCCCTTCTCCAGGGGATATTCCCAAGCCAGGGATCAAACCTGTGTCTCCTGCATTACAGGCAGATTCTTTACCATCTGAGCCATCAGGTCTTCTGCCTCAAAGGACTGAGGGGCAATCCCCATTTAAAAGGCTGTACCGGCCTCCTGCCTGACTTTTCCATGAACAGATATCTCATAGTCAGAGAACTTTCAGGGGTAGATCAGCATTAGTTACTGAGCGCTGGGGCTAGAAGAGGTCTTAATTCTCTAGTCTAGCTCAATGAAAATATGAGTGGCATGTTATCACTTTAAAATTTCCTAGATACTTCCCTGGTGGTCCAGTGGCTAAGACTCTGTGCTCCCAATGCAGGGGGCCCAGGTTCGATCCCAGTCAGGGAGCTAGAACCCATATGCCACAACTAAAGATCCTGCATGCCCCAACAAAGACCTGGCGAAGTCAAATTAATTAAAAATTTCTGGAAGGCACACCAAAATGTAAGAACAGTTAAAGCTAATTTATTTTATTTTTTAAATATTTATTTGGCTGTGCTGGGTCTTAGCTGCAGTACACAACTAAGTTGTGGCATGTGGGATCT